TGATATGGAAAATTTTCAAAGTTAATAAGCGAAAAATTAATATGAAAATTAATTACATGTTGTATTTCACTTCTTTAATTGGATACTTCTTGTATATTTAATTTAAATTTCGTATAGATGGCATAAACGTTATTGATAATATTATAAATGTTAATTATCAACACCTTAAATAAGATTTTTTACAGTTGTTACATGAACCTTATTTTCTTATCCGTAGTAAAATTTAGTACTGCCCATGAGTTGAAATGCAATCAAAGCCTACAAACATTTCCATTGTTTTGCATCCCCAGCTTTTCCATTTTTTTATGTGGATACCAAAAACAAAATTTCCAGTGAATACACCTGTTATTGATCTAATATATGTTCGACAATCTGAGACCAGCTATTGCCGTCTTATCACATGTTTGAAATTTAGTTTATTTAATTGGGGTTGTCTCTGATGAATTCTCAAATAAATATTTTAACCACGTGTTTCCATTCATTCGGCAAGCATATAATCACCGTCTTTGAAAATTCCAAGTCTAATATATGAAATCACAACCTCTCTTTGCATCATGTCGCAAATTTCAACATTCATATTAATAATAATTAATTTTGAACTCGTACTGTTTCTCTTTACAGCCTACATTTACATAAGTGTAAATTTTTTAACTTTTGAATTTCTGAAAAACTCGAAATTTTTCCTGCTTTTAGATTTCAATTTTAACCTTCACCTCATACAAACTCGTTATATAACAATATTAACACTCACAATATCCGAAAATCTCTAAAAATAGAACACTTTGATCTCTTAAAAACACAAGATTAATATCAAGGAATAGAACAAAAAAGGATAAAGAATAAATTATGAATATAAATAACATAATTTTTATGTTTCATTTCGAATCAATCATTCTCAAAAATATCCTTTGCAAACAAATTTATTGTCCTTTTTCTTTTTCAACATTGTAAAAAAGGAAGTGAAATAAACAGAGATGAAAATTTTGAAAATGTTTACAAATCTATATAAAAATTATAAAATTTAATAAAGAAACTGAGAAAGGTTAAGCAAGAGAGGAGGTTTTTTTCCTTCTTGTTTTCAATTATTTTTTCCTTAACACTGAGTTCGGGACGAATTCTGTTTCTATAGGTACCATTTATTTTTCTCAAGTGGAAAACAAGAAGAAGACCTAAATATTTCAATATTCGTTTTTTTTTTTTCATTTTGTTTATTTTATCCTTTTTTGAAGAGTTTGCTTTATATTTGATTGTCCTTTTTTCTCTCCTTTTTCTTTGTCATTATATTTTTAACTGTTTTATTTATCCTATAATCTTAGTATCGTTATATTATAAAGGATTTTGGTGTGTACATGTGTATATGTGTGCGATTTGTAAATTATATTATTATTTTAAATTGAATGGTTTACAAAAAAAAAAATAAGAAAACAAAACACAATTTTAACTTTTAGAGATTTAGATGGTTATGCCAAACCTTTTTATGTTTTTGCTTTTATAGAAAGGATCTTTATTTCTACTAATTAAATATCACAAAATAAATTTTAGGAAAATATAATGAAAAATTTGCTTTTTAATATGAAAAAATTGATCTTGTAGGAAATTTGTAAATTTTTATTATAAAGAAGCCAAAAGTCTTATGATTTCGACCACTTATATTTGAAAATACTTTGATTTTTTGAAAAAATATTTAAAGAACTAAGAATTTAAATTTATTTCATTATCCTTGTACTCTCCATTTGTGTACCTTGCTCAATATCTCAGAAATTTTATAAAAATTTTCATTTAATTTTATTGAAATTCAGTGTATTCTTCGTTGTCGCGCCTGTCTAATAACATATGAAGCACTGGGAATGTATAAATTAAAAGGAAAACGAACCAGAAACTTGAATATTTTCCGGCAATATTTTAATTTTTAGCAATTTCAATGTATTGTCAACATGGAGGTTTTCCCAATTACAATACATTTCGAGTCCATTTAAATAGAACCTCTAATTTGGTATTTAACAGATATACCGAACTAGTATGACTCGGAAGTAATTGAGCGCAATATGTAATCAAAAATTTTTAAATTATTTTAAAAAACATTTTGTATTAATCTAAATTTTTGCTGAATTTGAATAAAATTTGAAATTGGGAAAAAAAATGTAAAATATTTGGACCCAAAAAAGTTTAAATTTCTTTTTTCTCTCATTTTATTCGCAATAGCTAGCATAATCCAAACATAAGTATTTTAAAAACCAAAACCATGAATGAATTCAGAGGAAAAAAAAATTATTCTACAATTAAAATTTTTTTATTTTCTTTAAATTTAAATTACGGGTTTGTATTGATCTGAAAATGAATAGAAAAATTTTTTTCTCATTAAATTCTATAGAAATTTTTCTTTTTCTAAAAATCTAAAAGCCTTAAAAATTCCTGTAAAAGTTTCCATTTTAGCTGATTAAGCTAGAAAAACAAAATTGTTTATTTTGTTTAAAATGTATTGAGATAAAAATGTGCTGAAGTTCGTAATTCTCCCGCTTAATTCATAATTTTTAGTTTATTTCTTAATAAAAAAATTTTTTCGTAAATTAAAAAATTGGGGTCAACTATAGATGGCATTAATTACAGTTTGGGATCGAACTATAGTTAAAACAATAGAACCTTTTTAAATAATAGCACCGAATGTTGTAAATTGCAATAAGATGGTTAAAGGATAGCATAAAAGTCTTTCTGTTTATATATAGTATATATATATAGTCATTGTTTTATGAAAAAAATTTCGGATAAACTACAATTTACGATTTAACATAGAGAAATTACAAATTTTCATGAATAAGTGCCTCCAGATCATACGAGTATGTAGTGTGTTCTGGTCAAATACAATATCAAATAATAACTTGTGGTCAGTATGCGAATAGGAGCCAATAGAGAAAGAAATTAAGAAAAGAAAATACAGATTGCTCGAACACATTCTAAGAAGATCTGAACACTCCATATCAAAACAGGCAATAAGGTGAAACCACTAGGATCACGAAGTGTAGGGAGACCAATAAATACTTGAAAGAGAAGTGTGTTGAAAGAAATTGCAGAAGTTCGAAAAACGAAAAACAGTCAATGTAAACAAAACAAATACTTAGTAATCATGTGGATTACAGTATAAAGCAATGTAGAGAACATTCACGGCAATTTCTTCATGCCTCTGTAGCTCAGTAGGGAGAGAGTCCGCCTAGAAAGCGGTAGGTCACTGGTTCGAGTCAAGTTCAAGGAGAAAAAATTTTTTAATTAATTTTTCAGCCTTTAACTCGTTCCTTTGATTAATAAAAAGTTCCATTAAGTTAAATGGGCCCAGACTTTGTGGAAGTCCTATGCTTCTTGAAAAGGAGTAATAAAAAGAAAAAAGATAATTTACGATTTTAGGAAATAGCTTTCCATTCTATTTGTATTTGACTCATACTTAAATGTTCTTAAATTCCCGGATCCACAAAAGCCTTAACTTAAATAAACAATTTGTGAATTACTATTAATGCTTTTTCCTACTGTAGACTATTGGTATTTTTTCCTACGTCACTTACCTAGTAAATCGAATGATGCATGAAACTGGTTCATGGTTTTATCTAAGACATCATGAACCTACCTTATAGTCCTCTCAGAAGCCAAGTAGAATAAAAAGAACCCTTTTCCTTCGAACCGGGAAAGTTATAAAACAAAAATAAAGTTTTATGAAATTTCCAATTTTATAGATGAAATAAAACGCTGTATATCTACATGCGTATGTATATACATACATAAAAATTAAAAACAAAATAATAAATTTTTGTTCTCTTTGTACTTTCTCTTCAGAAGGGATAATAATAATAAAATTATTAAAGTGAATTAAAATGAGATTAAACGAATCTGTTTTGTACAAGTAGCATAACAATAACAATAGCAACACTATATTGGAATGATAAGGTAAGTACCATCATCAATTACAAAATTTAAATTAAAATTAATGATTTTGTGAAGAATTTACTTTTAACTCTTATCACTTGATATTGTTTTAAATATAAGAAAGTCTTTATTTCCATAAATTTGGAATATTATTAATCACTTTATGTGTTCTTTTGTATATTTAAATTTTTTGATATCTAAATTCAATGAATGTTAAATTTTACATGGTTGTTTAAGTTCTAACAAAAATTTATTAATTAATTATTTAGAAATTTTCAAAATATCAAGATTAGATTTGGTAAATAAATTAATGTCAAATGTTAAAATGTTATTTAACAAATAATTATGACAGTTCCAATTTCTATAGTTTTATTTTATTAAAAAAATATTTTTGTGCTACATGGGTAAAAATTATTGTATTGGGTGCTGTTACCTTAATGATTACGTAATTTATGATATTTAAATAATATATAATAAATTTGGAGTGATTAAATTGAGCAAAAGAAAATTTTTGTGGGACAACGTTCTTTGGCTTAGGTTTTAGTGTTAAAAGAAATTAATTACAGGAAATGTCCAGTGTGATGGGACTGGTATTAACACTGATTCCCTCTTCGTTATATTAAATGAAATTACATTAAAAACTGGTTCAAGGAAACCATTAAGATTACTGTACTTACATTCATTTTAATATTAAAGGCGCACATATACTTAAATTCTTTTGAAATTTCTAATAAATTTTGATTTACGTCCATTTTTCTCTCATTTTCCTCTATGTTGTGAATATTCTAGGCAGTTTATGAGAAATTTCTAAGGAGAATTGCTTGGTATACCTAGAGGATTGATAAATTCTAAAGTTTGATTGGGTTTTTGACACTCTTAATAAATTACTCGATAGCTTACAATTATTTTAAATCTTATACAAAAAAAAAATTAAAATTTCGTCTAAAAATAATTATGTATACGAAAATTATTAAAACTAGAATTAAGTTTCTAAGTTAATTCTTAATATTGTAGTTCCATCCGTTCCCCATATGATGGAACCACAACATTAAATAATAATATAATATCTTTGGTAATAATTACAAAATTAGTTAGAATTCTGTTACATAACAATATTTATTACATTGTTACTTCAATTTACTATATAACACTAAAAAATTAGAAAACTAAATTATACTAATTAAAAATTAATCGTGATAAAAATTTCAATTAAAATTTACTGTCGTGTCTGTTAGAATTCGGACTAACTTCAGTTTGACTGATTGAATAATGCAGATTCAATTACTAATTCAGTCAAATTGATGTTTTGTATCTGCATTTGCAAAGGTGTTTTCCCCTTTTTTTCCTCTTAATTGCACATTTGTTATTAAAAAGCCGATTCGCTAATTTGACTAATTTAGTCTTCATATTTAAATCACAAAAATATATCTTACTTAAAATATTTTAGATATATAATCTAGACAACTATCCTAGTATAGTTTTTATTACCGTTGGGCTTAGTTCCTGAAAATCACCTGTTTTAATATTACTTGGCCGAAATTCTTTTCTAATTTCTATATTGCAACATTGTATGCAATTGGGATAATCATTTCCAAAATCTATAAAATTTAAAAAATATTTTCCATTAAATTTGTATGTGGTGTATTCTAATTTAAACTTACTTTTTAATAAATTTGGCAATACTTTAGAACTAAAATCACAACAACAGCATTTTCTCACAATATAACTGTATTCAAAATCTTCATCATAGTTATCATAATCCGTTCCATTATAGAATTCCATGTTAGTGTCATCGGTGGCATTAAAAAATTCCATAATTGAATCATTTGATATTCTCATATTAAATTCAGTACAATTTTCATTAATTTTTAATTTTAATTCATTTAAGACCGTATTATTTTCTTGTAAAATTTTAATTGCATCTTTAATTTGTTGAATTTTTTCCTCCTCATGAAATTTTGATGGACGCTCATTATTTAGTGTTAGTGATATTGGGATTGGAAACGAAAAATTTCGCCATGATATTAAAGAAACTTTTGAATAATTTTCGGAATAATTTAGTTGACCATTGGATAAATGGAGATTTAGAAGCTGGAAATAAAATATAATTAATAAATAATTATTTTTAATAATTTTAAAATTTAAACTTACAATTAAAATAAGAATATTAATGAAATTCTTTAAATTTTTACACATATTTTGCTCTAGTGCTTACAATTATTAAATAAAATATTTAATTATTAAGAATTTTTCGCTGAATAAATAAAAACTTCTGGCAAATGGTTTTTTTGCTCTTTCATCCGGTTATTAGATGTTTCTCTTATGAGCTTATAAATTAAATTAAAAATAATGTGCAATTAACTTAAAAGCTTTTCAATTGAAAAACTGGTTTTTATATGAAAATTTTCTTTTTTTGTTTTGTTAAATTAGAAGTGTAATTTGCCTACGTAATAATTAAGTTATGAAATAGAAACACAAAACAATCTTGATTGACCAGTTTTTGTATGCATTCATGTAAATCATAATTGATTATTGTAAAATGAACGCATTATCAAATCGATGAACGGGATTTTCACACGCTACATTTTGTTTATGATTTTTTTTTGAAATATTAAACAGAAACTATGCCTACAGAATATAGGCATAGTTTCTGTTTAATGGGAAAATATCTTTAAGGGGAAGGCACTTCGGGATTGTGCCTTCAAACCTGATTTTAAAAGTTAAATATTTTTTGCTTTAATACAGGTTTTAAAAATCATCGAAAGACAAACACAGGAGGACCCAAACTGTCATCAAGCGTATCAATAGTGGGGGACTTTAACTCAAGCTAAAATTCTTCTTTTTATTTTTACCATTAATTTTGCTCTATCGTGTTTTAGTGTCTACATTCCACGAAAGAAGACACGGAAGTGCTATCGTAGTACTTTATGCTAAATCAAGAGGTCTCCTTCGCCTCAGTCTTTTTTCGCAAATCCTCTCCCCTATAATTCGAGAGGCCTCGACATTTGCATGCTTTTCCTAATGAATCCTATGTTTCACTATTGCGCACATACCAGGGAGAACCCACCATATTATACGAAGTACCGTGTTGTGGAAGGTTTGTATTTATTTGATGTGTTTCATGCTTGGCACAACCCCATAGCTGCAAACCGGACATCCATATAAGTTTTATTATTTGATAATATATCAACCCCTTATTGTATGTTGCCAATCTAGACTTGCGACCTAGAAGCCAATAATTTTCCCTATATCTGCTTTCTAATTCTATTCTTTTCTTCTTTACATGTTCTGTCCCTCTGAGCAAAAGTTAAATATGACTATGTTGTAAGTCAACTTATGCCAATTCTGCTTCAATAAATGAAAGCAAACGTAATTCTATGAGAAATTATTGAACAAGTAGACCTTCTTAAACCATGATTTGCTGGGCTAATGATACTTTGGGTAAATCTTATACTTTCAAATTTTATTGCACAAGCCGCTTAAGCTTATCTGAATAAGATTAATTACATATTTCGTTTTATGGAGAATGCCAAAATTTACCAAAAAAATTCCTCAACAAAAAATCATTTTTTTTAATAATTTCAATTTTTTCTAAAGACAATGACTAAAAATATTTTGAAATTTCTTTTATTCTTTCGTACCAATTTCAACTTCAATGTCATAAATAACATAAAATAGTCTTCTATACGAATGCTGAGACATTTTACACTTTACATAAATTTCATTTGATTCTCAACACTTTATAAATTAAATTTTTTATACAAAATTTTTTACCCAAAAAAAAGCGAAGCCTTTCAATAAACTTTTAATATCTTTAAAATCATTTCTTTTTTCTTTTTTCACATAAAATGACAAGGACCCATTCTAAATTTAAAATCTGAAATTCAATAATTCTTCTCTTTTCATTATGAATTTTGATTGATGATTTTTAACATAAGAAGAAGAAAATAATAGATTTGTTTCATACTCACATATCATACTTGAAAATAATAGATTTGTTTCATACTCACATACGAGTATCATACTTGAAAATAATAATAGTCATACTATTTATAACCAATATAAGAAGTGAGAGTGATGTAACTATGTAGGTGTATGGAAAACCTCTTAAGTAAAGTAAAATGATCAGAGCAAATGTATACTTACGTATCTCAAGATTTCGCGTAACAAAAGTTGTATTTTTTTTTTTTTTTATGTGGATTAAAAACACTTTTTTAGTTTTTGTATTCAAAAAGTTTTTTTTATTTAAAATTATTTTCAAACTTGTTGATACCACGTATGGCTTCTTAGAACTAACTTACTTTTTATTTTCTATTAACTTTCATTCCCAATATTTTTATTCAAAGTAAAAATTGCTTGATAGGCAATTTTTGTTTGTTATTTAAAATTCATAATTATAATTTACTTAAAATTTTATGTAATTCGATAAATTGCAAACGGATGTTACATAACGCGTCGCGAATGTTTATTTTAAAAAGTGCAAGTAGAATTTTATTACGAAAGGAAAAAAAAATTTATTTTATTTGATAAAAACAATTTTTGTTTATTGGAAAGGTAGAGGGCAATCTTTATTTGAATTTGTTATGGGCAATTCTGTTTTACTACACGTATCATGTAGAGTAAAGCATGGTGGTGACGTAACACCTCCGCCCTTAAGATCCGACTCCGTGCGGATTTTATTAAAAACAACATTTAATTTGGGTTTTGAAGAGTTAAGGTTACATTTAAAATAGATCATAAGAAAAAAAATTACGATTAAAATTACTACTATTATACAATCGGTCCCAACACTCGAGTACCATTTCACTGTGTGAAAGTATTCCAATTGCTTTATTATTTCAGTATTGTTAATGTGTTTGAGGTATAAATCTTCTAAACTAAATTCGGTTTTTATTTTTTCGATCGTTATGTCCCGTTCTATATACGGCAATATTTTGGCTGAATATTGTTTTTGATAACTTTCCTGCATAAAATTATCGATAGCAACTTTGCAATTTACGAACTTTACAATATTATTACCTTTTATTTTAAATTCTTTTTGTTGTTCACAATTATTGATTAATAAGGTTTGTTCTAAGTTTTTCGTTACAATTACATTGTCTGTTAATAAAAAAATATCCTTAGTTAAATTCTTAAAGTAATTACATTTCATTTTCTTTATGTTTAGTAAATTTGCTATACAACTATCATTAAAGCTTTTTAGATCTGTTTTTGTTATAATTTTTTTCTCAGTATTTTCAAAAACATTTTGGTTGCAAGTAATTATTTTGTTTATTTTGGTATCTAATTCTAAACTATAATTTTTATTTGGAATTTTTACAATTAAAGTTTTAAAACAGGTTTCTTGTGAAAAAATTGGGATTGAAAGCGTAAAAATAATATTGTTTTCTTTAAATAACACTGCATTTTTTATAAATGGTAACATTTCTATAGTAATATTTAAAAATTTAATTTCTTCATAAGTAAGAGTATTTTTTGATAATATTTCAAGTCTACTGGCTAATATAATTTCTTTAAAATTTTTTATTTGGTTTAATATGGTATTAATATTCTCATTTATCTCTAATTTAATACTTAACAATTCTAATTTTAAATCAATTTTTGTTATATCATTCTTTAATTCATCAATACTTTCTTTAATTTTACTTTGGACATTATTAATATGATCGGTTATGTTTTGAATTTGATCCGATAATTTTGTATTAATGTAGACTTGTTGGTTCAAATTTTTAGTTATTTTATCATTATTGCCTTTTAATATGTCAAAGTGTTGCTCTATTTCTACTCTGTCGTCGTCGTCCATTACACCGGCCAAAATATGAAGACCGCTACCAACAAAATTAAACAAATCCCTTTTGTGTACATGATGGGGAATTAGTGTCTTAAATTCTTGTTTTAAATGTTCAAAATTGTGTAAAAGATTAGTGGGTATTTCTGTTTTTTTATGAAGGTGGATTATATTAGTTTGAATTTTGTTAATAGTTTCCTCATATAAATTTAAATCTACTACATGCAATATTTTTTCGAAATTTCTTACAATTTTTAATTCGGAGTCTTGTAATAAGATATAACCATTTCCATTTTGTACTTCGTTAATTTCGATATATGAGCAATTAATGTGAGCTATGTTGCATAATACGATTATAATAAAAATAAGAGCTGAAAGAGTACAAAATCGTTTCAGTAAGAATTTATATCTGATGTAATATGATTAAGTAGAAATTTTGTTGTCAATTTTAAAAGATTAATAAGTTTAAAATTATTTTTTTTCGAATTAGTGCTGACATAAGCTAAAATGGTTTTATAAATATTTCAGAATCTTATTATTGTTTTGTTTTTTTTTTTTTTTTTATTTTGCTTTTAAAATAAATATTACAGAGTTGTTGTTAGTATTGTTAGTTATTATAGATTTTTATTTAGACGTTAAAATCAGAAAATTTCATGATAGAATTATGATGTATGGACTTATATGCATTTAATCAAAGTAACGAGAGTTATTGTATAAAAATGTAACGAAAAATCAAATCTAAAACTGTCAATTTTGTTAATCATATGGCACTTTGATGTTGTAAAATTTGTTAGGTTAAAAATTTTATAGAAGAAGAACTTTTGTCTTAATTTTAATTTTTTCCTGAATTGATTGAAATAACGAGGATAGCTTTCGTTATCAATCCTGAAATGAGAATCATTTTCTTTCTCGATCTTAACTTTTTTATGCAGATTTTGAAGTTTGGTAATTCTATTAAGTTTAAGATAAGTAGATGCCTTTTCTTTTTTTCGTTTTTTATTAATACTATTAATTTTTTTGATTTTAGATGATAATAATTTTTTGTGAATGGCAGGGTAATCTGTAGTTTTTACGATACCGTTTACAAAATCAATAGGTTTTCTGCCTGTGGAGGAATGGATTGTTTCGTTGTAAATTTTTACACTTTTTATAACTGGATCTTCATCCATAGGTAAATTTTCTTCTTTTTGTATTGCGTATAAAATTCTGATATGCTCATTTAACGTATTGTGGAATCTTTCGATATCCGCGTTACTTGAGTGGTTATTGGGTGTGGTAAAATGTATCGTAATCCCCTCATTTTCTAAAAAGTTTTTGAAATTCAAACTGTTAAAACCCTTTTCTTGATCTGTTATAATTTTTTTAGGTTTGCCAGAAGATGAGATGTATTGCATAAAAGCATTTTTTAAATCTATCCAATTTCTGGACTTAATTGGTATTACGTGTGCATGTTTTGAAAATTTGTCGATTACCGTTAGGTAAGCATTTCCCTTGCTTTTAAACCAAATATCGAGATGGATTATTTCC